GGGGGGGGGGGGGGGGGGGGACCTGAAGCCTTGCTGTCCAGACAGAGACTAAAACCTACTATCCACAAAAAACATCTCTGCTACCAACACCTCGTGTTTTTCTGTGCCTTGCCAGCACCTATCACGCTTACTTCTGAGCTGCTTACCTGCTTTTCCCTAAGTGTCACTGTCCTTCTGGAGGGCAGATTTCACCTGTCTTTTTTCTTTTTCAGCATGGCTGACCAGGGATCTGCCTAGCTAAATTAGGGGTAAATTTGGACTGGTTTTGCTGTCTTTGTGTTGCTCTCCTTGGACAGCAGTGCAATTGCTTTCATCTGTCTTCTCTACCGTAGGCAGGCTGGGCAATGTGCAGTTACTGAGGAGCCCCCAGGCTTCCAAGAAAGGGCATTTCTGACCAGTAGCAGTTGGCATTGTCTTCTCATTTTATAATCGGTCTCTTCTAGTCTTATTGTCTGATCACAAAATACAGGGACATGGTGGTCTAAAAGACAGCTTTAACAGCTCCACCTAGTGTTTAGTCGTACCACAACCCAAGATTACAGATTCAGTGGCTCATGGTGAATGGGGGCTGGAGTCATTAGGTCAAGCTGCCACATGTGCCACAGTGACCCCCAATTAACTGTTTTAAAATAATTGTTTTAGTTCTAGTGGCTGCTTTAAACAGGAGCACTGATGACTGACTGCACGACTGAGACTTGCTCTAGACTTCCCAGTCTTGTGACAGCAAAAATGACTCTCTTTAACTGGTTGCATCTGCATATGTGTTTTACTGTGGAGCTGACTATTTGGCTCTGCAGTAAAGTGTCACTGTCTACACATGCGCCCATATTAGGGCACAGTAAAATTTAACTCTGCTATAGGATACTACTGTGTAAGACAAGCACTATCCTGTGATGGAGTCATTTAGTGCACCAAAATATGTGTAGACAGTGACTGGGATGCTAAGAGGAGGGTGCTACAGTGCGGGGGGCTGCCCACTGGCTAACTCTGCCCTAGAGTACCCCCATGCCCCAGCCAGCCCCTCCATTGCCCAGTGCCACAGCTTGGAGCCTGGGGCTGACCCCCGGATCCCTGCCAGCTTGGATCTGTTCCGCCCCAGCCCAGATAGCTACAGTCCCAGGCACGCGTGTACATGCTGCACTGGGAGCAGCTGACTTCACCGCAAACTGTGCTGGAATTTATTGAGACATGCTAATTGCACATTTAGGTGCTCCCACTGGGTACCTAAACCAGACTAAAGTGATTGTTGCTGCCCAGATTGTTTCAGTGCTTTCAGAGCACAAATTGGAACTAAGGTGTAATGTAAGGGAGCTGGTGGCTGAGCAGCTGGAGATGCAAAGCTATTGGAGATGATCTGAGGTTGGGAGCACAGCAGTGCTGCTTCTGGTTAGGAAGTAGTCCTATCAACACTTAGCCCAGCCCCAGTTAAACACTTGCAGGCCCAGGTTAAGACCAGAAACTTTTGCAGGGGGGCAGTATTAAAACATTGCCAAATGCTGTTGGGGTAAAGATCACCCAATTTTTTCCTACTCCTGAGGTCAGATTTAACTCAAGTTCTTAAAAAGCATCTGACCTAATCCAAGTTGTCTGTGAATGATTCCTACCTAGGAGGTGGGAAAGATTCTCAACCTGCTTAGGAAATATCTGGAAACAGAGTAGCAGGCCTGACGTGTATTAACAGCTTTGGCAGCTTAACATGGTTAGGATTGTAGGACAAGGTACTTCTGGTTTGCTGTGGCTGCATCAGCCGAGTTTTGGGGGCTGGCTTTACACAGGGCTTATAAGGACCATAGTGGGCTCTCATCCCTCAATTTTATTAACTATTAAAACACCTTCAGGTTTCATGCTTGTCACCAAATGTCCTACTCGGAGTAAGCTGGGTTTCTGGATGTAGCCATGTTGACCTAAGGACATAGGCAGGCAAGATTCTTTGGGTAGATGTGATCTCTTTTATTGGACCAGCTGAGTAGTTGGAAAAGAGTTCTTTGCAAGTTTTCAAGCACAATCACCCTTCTTCAGGTGTAGGATGTCTCTGCTGTTCTGAGACTGTCTTCCTAATTTCCAGCTATTTACTTTTTCAGTCAGCCTCTTTTTTTTTCTACCTTGAATTACTGCTACTACTGTAGAGTCTCCCTTACTCACCTTTTTGTCTTTTTTTCCCCTGCTTTTTTTCTCCCCTCCTCTCCCTGCTCTTCTTTTTTTTGTTTGTTTTGTTTTCTTAATTTCCACCTATTTACCTTCTCACTGACATCCTGTCGCACTTTCAGCTTCTTTCATTTCTTGAAGTCTCAGAACAGCAGAGGCTTCCTATGCCTGAAGAAGGGTCCTTATGCCTGAAAGCTTGCAAAGAACTTTTTTCCAATTACTCCGTTGGCCTAATAAAAGATATCACATCTACCCAAAGAACCTTGCTTACCCAACATAATACCACTCCCTGCATGCTGGCTTGGGTAATAACCCCTAAAGCTCTGGTGGATTGGCAGTCTAGGCCTTGCCTGGTTATGACAACACTGGATTCATCTCAACAGAAAGTAACAAGCTCTGGAGGAACCAGCTGTTGTTATGTGAGAGAAGTCTCCTGGGGTTCCCTCCTGAAATTGCTAGGTCTGGGCTCCCCCTACTGACTGATCTTTTTATAGCAAAGCTCCACTTAGCACATCTGCTACCCATTATTGTGCATTTGGCAAGAAAGCTTTTCAGATCTGATGTCTCCTGCTTAATCTCCGTTGCTGCTTTTAAATGCTAATTAGCCAAATAGCTGGGTGAGGAGGGCCATCAGTGAACAGCAAAGATTCCTTAAGTGAGGAGGGGAGAGGCAGAGATTGGGTCAAATTGCTTTTTGGTATCCTTGGTGTAGAGCATACAGAGGAGAGAGATCTAGACCCCTCCAGATGGAACTACTAAGCTTTTTATTATCCCTGGACCTGCCCTAGTCAGTTAAATTAACTGACCTCTTACAGCAAGTCCATATGAAACCTCTGAGTAACCGTAGTTATGACATGGTTAATCAGTCTAGATAGAAATCAGTTTCCTTTGTTGTGCTGGTTTGCACAGTCTTTGGGACACACTCTAAGCTGGCATTTGGGGTAAGGGAAAGAATGAGCTTGGGCAAGATATTTCTGAGATTGGAGACCTGTAAGTGGCTGTTCAGGCCAGACCACAGGGCTGGCTGCCCTATGCACAGAGATGGAAATGGCTACGTTGTGCCCACTTCTTACTATCTCTGCAGTCCATGCCTGCTAAGCCTTCAGTTTTCATCATGTACAGCATGGGGAATTCAGCCCCTCAGGCTACGGGGGGATGTTGCTGTGTTCCCGGGTCTCTGCCTGTGCAGGTTTGGTTCTGCCTTGCGATCCTGTGGAATGCAGCGTTCAGCCAGAGCTGTAGGTTCCCATGGCTGGAACCTGTGCAGTCCACTGATTTCAGAAAGCTGTTGCCTTGTGCACATTGCCCAGTCGGTCCTGGTTGTGGGAGGCCTACCAGCCGTGGCAGCAACTTGTGAGCACACTACAGCCCCAACAATTAACCTTGACCACTTAAAATGACTTCAAAGGCTCAGTTGCCTGCAAAGAGCTTTCCAAGGATATGTACAGTTTTTTGGTTGTGTGGCTTTTTGTTTTGTTTTTGTTCACAAGTACGTGGCAGACATCTCCTGGCGAGACATGGAGATAAGGAAGTCTTGCTTTGAGTAACCCATGGGGTATGCTAGCCCACATGCTAACCTAACTTATTTATTAACTTGCTCTGCTAAGCATCTTGCAGCTTTTGCTCATCCTGGGATATCCTGATTAAACTCCCCCTTCCCCCCTCACGCACACTGTCTGCATCAGCTCTCAGGGTGTGTTTTAATGTTGAAACATCAGAGGTAGCCCAGTATCTGACACTCCACTCCCACGATTCTTAGGTTGCTCAGTAAATGAGAAATTGTATGTTCCTTGGTAACGGTGAACCCTGTTGCCAGGTAGAGCTATAACCTGCCTGTGACCCTTTGCATAGCGAAGGAGAGCATGTGGTTGTGGTAGGCCTAGTGGAATTCTATCTTAAATCTGTTTGACAGCCCAGAGATGAGGCTGATCGGCTGTGAAACAATGTGGACTGCGTTCGGCAGAGGTAAAGGGACTCCCTTTCAGAATGTGGTTGTCTCCAGTACTGCATGAAGTCCAGTGGCTATGGCTAATGACAGATGGGGATCGCTACTGCATAATAATGGCGGCAGCACTGAGGTGTCCTGTTCCCTTGCTATGGACTCAGTTCTGCTGGCAAGAGACTTTGTCACCAGAGATGCACAGTCTCCAGCAAACCAAAGGAATCCCTGCCAGCAGAGCTGTGCCTGTGCCAGGGGTTTTGGTGGCAGAGTGTCAATGGTTTCTGTGTGATCTTTTCACATTTATTAGCTGATGTGCCCTGCTGGTAGAACCTGATAGTGCAGTTGCAGCCTCATTCCCCTAGCAATTTTTGTGGGTTTAAAGTTGTGCAGCCTGTTTTTTCACATAGTAATGGAGTTATGAAGTGCTGAAGACCCACAATGTCTGGCTCCACAGAGGAAACTGCCAAACTAGACTCTTCATGATGAGATGTCAGATGGGGAAAGCAAACCAAGCTAACACGAGGAGCCCTGTTTTCATCCCTCTGCAGTCCCATTAAGGGTTAGCTGTAAGGTTAAATATCAGATGCGACTCCAGCCTGTGTCTTCCCATCAGTGTTTAAATCTTTAAGCACAGCTTTCAAATGCTCTGATGATCATACCAGCTAATTGCACTCTGCCTAATGAGACTATGATATCTCTCCTGACCTTCCATCAAAGCTGAAGCCATTTCCTATAGAAGATTAGCCAGTGATGGGGAAAGCCTGCAGTCTGTTTACATAACATCTTATCCTAGTGACCTGAAGGCTGCTTATCCTGTTCCAATGAGGCCTTTGTTGCTACCTGCTTTGATTTTGTTCTCTGGTTGTGTTTAGGGCACAGGAAACCTTTATGCAATGGGATCAGTGTCGAAGGTTTTATAACTTCCTTATGGCAGACAACATGAAGAAGATCATCCTCTCTCACAGGTACTGCAGTACATTTTCTGCTCTGTATATTCCTAATTGAGCCCCGGCTGCAACTTGCAGTCTTTCAAAAGGTTAATGAGATGGAAGCCACAAGCAGAAGTTGATGCGTCTGTTTAAATTTCCTAGAAAGGGAGGGTTTAAGAAGGTAAAAGGATGAAGAAAGTTAGCCCCAGCATCTAGATACCTCTTCATGTGCTGTAATATAAATAAGCATTGTAGGACCCCTTAAGAACTGCGTGTGTAGTGTGGGGGCAGGTTGTCCCTGTCCCTACAACTGGGTGGTTATTTTTTCCTTTCCTTTTTAATTCATTTATTAAATGAATAAATCCAAGATGAGTGCGAGAACACTGAACTTCCCACACGACACCTGTGCAATGAAGCAGCAAAGTGTAGGGACTTTGCATCTGGTGAGGGAGCAGCTCTCAAGGGCTTGCTCTGCCATGTGCACACAGGATTAATCAGCAATAGGTAGGGGTACTTGATGTGCATGCAGCTGCAGCTTATCAAACATGGCAGTTTGAGCCTTAAATGCAATTGCAAACCACAGGGAGTGTAGCTTGAGTGAATGCCCCTGTGTTGCTCTTTGCCCAATACCAATGTTCCACTTATTCATAGGAATCATAGAAAATTAAAGTTGAAAGGGACCTGAAGCGGTCATCTAACCCAACTTCCTGCTCAAAACAGGACCACCCCAACTAGATCATCCCAGCTAAGGTTTTGTCTAGCCATGTCTTAAAAACCTCCAATGATGTAGATTCCACAACCTCTCTGGGTAACCTGCTCCAGTGCTTTACTACCCTCCTAATGAAAACGTTCTTCCTAATACCTAACCTAAACGTCCCTTTCTGCAACTTGAGGCCATTGCTCTTTGTTCTGTCACCTGCCACCACTGAGAGCAATCAAGCTTCATCCTCTTTGGAACCACCTTTCAGGTAGTTGAAGGCTACTATTAAATCCTCCCTCAGCCTTCCGGCTTAAGTTATGTGCCCCAGCCTCCTAACCATTTTTGTTGCTCCCCACTGGAATTGCTCCAATTTGTCCACATCCTTTTTGTAGTGGGGGGTCCAAAACTGGACACAGTTCTCCAGATGTGGCTTCACCGGTATCAAATAGATGGAATGAATCACTTCCCTCAGTCTGCTGGCAGTGCTCCTGCTAACGTAACCCAGTATGCCATTAGCCTTTTTTGCAGCAAGGGCACATTGTTGTCTCGTAGTCAGTTTATTGTCCACTGTAACCCCTAGGTCCTTTTCTGCCTCTATGAATCGGAGGTCAGGTTGAAGACTGAAATGTTATTAATAGTCCTCTCTGATGCTGGGTTCACCTTGCTCCCATTCAAGTTGCTTTGAACACTTAAGGTGCATTGCCTTAGTTGGTAGCTAATTCCTTGGCAGACAGGGGAGGGAATTTTTAAAAAAGCTGATTATTCATGCCCTAGTCCAGTGGGCAGAGTAGAGATCATAAAAGATGCTATCTCATCACTAGCAGCCCAGGGAATTCGGGAACTCTTGTCTGTACGCATAACATATGGAAAGCCACATAATTCACTCCAGATAACTAAATATTTTGACAACTTGACAAAACTTACAATATATGAAGCACTCTAATCTCCCCATTTAGTGGTGCTCAGCATTATAGCCTAGAGAAACCTGCTGCAGATGTAAAGGAGAGGGCTTGTTGAATTAGAAAAATATTTTGCTTCTATAATGGATCTTTTGTGCTCCAGGCCAGCTCCCCAAAGCAAACTCCATCCCTCTCCTGCAGCTGCTGCTGAAAGCGGACAAAAATCCAACAGGCCCCCTGCCCTTCACAGCTCACTGTCTTTCTTCTGGGTTCTGGATGTTCCCTGCTTGTCAGGGTATGGGTTTGCATCCTCTCCTGGGTGCAGTATCTGAGCGTGACAAGTGTTCGTAGTGAATAGTTTTCTGGTAAGGTAATGCCCCAGATAACGCTTGTTGGATGAGCTAATGTTGCTTCACTCTAGTGAAGCAGTAAAACCAGATGGGGAAGGAGATGCTCCACCCATAATCTTTAGTGCTGTTAACAGAACCTCTCATGTCTTTGGTAAGAAGCCACAGGTTATGGCCTTTACTAGAAACCCTTTGCTCCAAGTACCCTTCAACTTAGATACTCCATGAAAAGTCCCATCTCTCAGAAACAGGGTTTTAAGTGGGGGTGTTTTCAGTGTAGTGGAAAAATATCTTTGTCCCTGAAAAAGATATTTTTGTCCGACTTCTCTACTTCCCTCCTGGTGTGCCGATCCAAAACTAAAAAGCCATGCTTGTGAATGAGCATATCATCCTGGATGTGGGGATACAATATATATATATATTGTGGGGATACAAATATATATATTCCTCCTTCCCCCCACAACAATCCTGCAGATGCCAGTTGCTCTGGGGGTGCCTGTCAGTAGGTTAGAGCTCATTTGCAGTTTTGTGGCTACTGTGCTTGGACTACTTTCCTCTTGCTTTTCAGACAAGTTCTGTTTGGAGATCATGTGAAGAAGCCCCAGAGCTTAATGGACACAGACCTGAGCAAACTCTGTACAGCTACATCCCTCATGCAGATTGATGACAGCATCATGAGGTAGGGTAGCAGCCCCTATGTAGCCCATCTTTCCATGTTCTGGTTTCCTGCATGCTGCTACGCAGATGAAAGCTTCAGGAGCTTCCTGATGAACAATTTTTACCAAATCTTAGTCACCCTGTAATAAACTCTGCTTACCTCTGTAAGATCATATAAGGCTTATTTTTCAGTAGCTGCAGTGTGGGTTGGGGCCCAATCTGCTGGATTCTGTACAAATGCCAAGGAAAAGGACAAGTCTTCCCAAAAGAATCTGTCTAGAGAGGTGGAAATGTCTGAGTATGAACATGAGGTAAAACATGCAAAGCAGCTTGCTGGTGGCAAGCCCATGACTGGTTCGGACCAAATTAGCTATATTTAACTCTTGCCTTGCCTTCTCGTTAAAACCTTACTTTAACTCCTGCCTCATCTCAGCTTGGCAAACTATGATAAATGTATTTCAAAATACATCTGCTTTTAAGCCTTGCTGCTTGCTTCATTAATGTACCTGCCCTTGGTTCTTACTAATATTAAACAGCAAGCTCTTAAATCATGCCTGTTTCTAAATATTGTGTTTGCTTTAAGCATAACATCCATTCCCCAGTGGGCTCTTACTTTCACTTCCCCTTTCTGTGGCATCTGCTAGGTTCAGGCACTGGCACAGCCATCCAAAGCCAACAGAACTGCTAAAGGTCTGAAAGTACGGTGCTCTTCTGGCCCTCCTGAGGCGGCCTGGTGTATTTTGTACTTGAGAGAGGCTTCCTGCCATGTACTTGGCCAGAAATGAAGCATTGAAGACAGTAACCCTGTAGTCTCTCTGGAAGCAGGGGCCATGTAGACAAGGCTGTCATCAGGCCCTGATTTCTAGATTCTGATGAAAGGATGAAGAGATTAGAGTGACTGCCTGGACCCCATTAAGGGGAAGGGAAAGCCAAAAAAGTGTCTGCTTTCTTTGTATTGCTGTTAACTACAGCAAGCTTCATCTCCTAAGAAGGGACCTTCTGTCTTTGCATTTAAGGTTCATGAGTAGTTGAAGAGTAGTGGGCTAACCAAAAGAAGTCCTTAAGGAACCAAGTTTTAATGTAACCAAACTTGATTTTGCTTCCCATCCAGTCTGCCACATCTTCAGAGGCTTCAAAGCTTGAAATGCCCCAGACATAGCTAGGCATTCAGTTTGACAAGAACTAGTCAAGAGGGTTTACTTGGCTGTCTGTGGCACACTTCCCATTCTTGCATTCTAAGCACTCTGAGGAAGTGCACACTAAGTCGGGTAGATAGGTTTTGTTCTGTGCGTACCCTGACTCTGCAGCACTTGAAACATGGCAGATGTCACATTTGTCAGATACTGATGTGCTCTATGGTTCGTAAGCATTTAACATCTAGCTCTTACACAGCGATGGGCCTGGACAGATGGTCTCTATTTATGCACTGGAAAGAGGTCACATTTGGCAGCTTGAGACTCCTCAGACTGAAGCAGGACTTGGACATTGAGTGTATCTCTTCCTGCCTTATTGTGTTTTATTTTCTGTCTCAGGAAATTCCATGGCTACAATTCCCTGAAAGAATATTATGAAGAGGAAAGCTGCTTGCATTACCTACATAGGGTGAGTGCTCTCAGCAGAGGGCTTCCAGTTGGCATTTAAGAATGAGAAGAGCCAATGCTCAATGATGTCTGCATTAATGGTACCTGCATGTCCATGTCTGATTACTTCTCCAGCAAACCCTGGCTGGGAATTTTCAAGTGCCTTAAGGGAGTTAAGCACCAACATCCTATTGCCACTTAATGATAGGTGCCCAACTTTCTTGAGAATATTGGCCCTGATTTCACTTGGTTCTTAAATTATCTCCCCTCTAACTAAAGTCTGACTTGGAAACCAAGAAGCAGGCACTATGCTGTAGTTCAGGCTTCTTCGCGTATAACACGTGAAGTCGAACTGCAAGGCCCTCAGAGCAGAATAGTGCTGCACAATAGTATTCTGGGCACAGAGCCAAACACACAATTAAACCCCTTTAAAGATAACAGCAAGGCAGGTGGTAACCCTTAGATCAGGGTGCTTCCAGAAACATTAGATCATTTGCTTCTCCTGGAAAGAGGCTCAAGGCAGCACCTTGATGGCCCAGTATTCCAGAGACCCAAGGCTGCGGTGAATTAAATGTACTAGGTCTCCCATAAGAGCAAGGGCAGTAGTTTACCAAAAATCCATAAAAGCCAGGGATTTCAGTATTGCCCGAGTGCAGTGTAGCTTCCTGAGGCAATGAATGTGTGGAGCTGAAGGCCAAATACCTTCTAGTAGCTCAAGTCAGTTCAGCTTCTTCAGCCCCACATAGACGGTAAGTTTTTAGGCAGTTTGTCCATCAAGCATATTGCAGCCCAGCCTCTGTACCAAAGCCAGAGTGACAGTTACCAGGAAATGGTGTCAAGAGGAAGGCACTCCGTCTAGCAGTTTTACGAGTGTAAAATCCTGTTTTGATCACTGATGACACTTGATCCCCTGGTGTCAGCCCTTGATCAAAGGCCATGCTTGGGCTGCCTGCCATTCTGGCCTGTTATAGCATCTCTTCAAAGAATGGCATTTCCTTCAGCTGCCTCCATTCTTTGCATCTCCTGCCCAGACCAACGAGCATAATTGAAGTGTTTTTCCCGCGCCCCCCCCCATCTGCCAATTTCTGATTACTCCATCTCAGATTTCAGCAGTCTGTTTCCCTTGAGCACTGCATGTCCCCTTCAGAGGCCATAGATAAATGTACGCATCTCTAGAAGCACTAGTTTGGAGCCTCTCTTCAAGGCAGAATGTTAAATGCTCTTGAGTATTGGCCAGACAAGATGTGTGGGAAGCGCCACGTGCATTCCTAGCAGTGGTTGTCAACTCCCCAGAGATGCTGGCTGGATCCACTTTGTTGTACCCAACCTGCCTACCAAACAGTTCCTTGGAGCCATAGCAAATGCTGCAGAGCTCTCCCATCAGTGTCAGCCCTCCAGTTCTGGTTTGATTGAGTACTGTTGCTACTGATAGCATTATACCTGGTGTTCCTGCAGGTGAGCAAAACATGTCACTCAATTGTGGCTTCATGGTCAGGTTATGAGGGTAGGTGCTTTTGTTGTGGAGAGTCTGGAGTTCTGGCTGAATCTGTAACTTACTGAGTTTCTCTCCTTGTTCCACATTGCAGATCTATGTTCCCCTGCTGCTAGTTAATTCTGCTGATGACCCTCTGGTTCATGAAAGCCTGTTATCAATCCCAAGAGGTCTTTCAGGTAAGTTGAATACATCACAAACTAGTCTACTTTTGTAATGTTCACCCTCACATTTAATACCACTCAGTGAAGGAATAGCTTGTCTTACAACTGGAGCAGCATGGTAGCAATGTACTTTGGTGTCTTGGCTCCTCCGTAAATTACCAGTTGCTACGAAACTTGAAGATTTTATTTCTTGTGAGGTCTAACAAAACATTTATTTTCAGAGCTGGCTTTGCAGCAGGAGGGAACTGTTTTGTGCTTTTTTCCCCAAGCATCACATGGAGAGGTGCTACTAGATGACCATGAAGCAAAATCAGAAGCAATTTGCTTTAGATCTTACATAGCCATTCTCCTGCAGTGAAAAAGCTTTGTTAGAAGAGGTACAAGGGTTACCTAGTCCAACTCCCAGCACAGATGTAGGACTGAATTGGTTCCTCATGTCAGCTCCCCACGCAACTGGGAGAGCCAGAGGCTTTGTATAACATTTCAAGGCTAAAGTAGCTTTAGCCTGGTGGGTAAAGAGAACACAGTGAAAGTGAGTTGTCTTTCAGGGTTATGATTGCCTCCAGCTGTGCTGGGTCCCAGGGGGGTGGCAAGTGTGGGATTCCAGGGTGACCTGTCTGTTCTCTTTCAGTCACAAAAAGGCAAGATCTGGGTGACATTTTGCTGCTGAACAGAGCCTGCCCAATGGGAACAGAAGGGGTGCTTGTTCCATCATTAAAAGCCATTAGGGGAGAACCTAATCCTAGCCACTTTTCTAAGTGAAATCAACAGCCTGGTCAATGAGAGGGATTTCTGCATAACACTAGGCAGCAGGGGTGGCTAATATGTAGTCAGTTCTGCAGTGCTGCCTATAGATCCCTCCAAGTATACAGCCTGTGGAGACAGCTGGTGCGAGCCTGCCGTGCACCTGAGCTGAGGTAGAGCACTGCAGGCTAGGTTCCAGTGGTCTTTACTGGCTGTATGTTTGCTCCCATGTACAGAGGTTTATCTTGACTTCTGTAGACACTTCTTTTTATATTTGAAGAACGTGGCAGGACTGTATTAGGAGGGCTGCTGTAATTTGGGTCTTTGATGCAAGTTAGTTGTGAAAAATACTAGTTTTGTTGATAAAACATTTGCTTCCTCTACCAAGCAGGAATGTATCAAAGGCTTTGCTGACACAGAGCACATAGCCAACCCTGAAGCCCTGAGTTGAGTATGTAATCCAGGAGAATGCAGAACTCTGCTCTTTTGACTTCCTGTCCACTGACGATGACACCTTATGCCATTTTCCTTCTTTTAACCTTGCAGAAAAACGGGAGAACGTCATGTTCGTGCTGCCACTGCATGGTGGTCACCTGGGCTTTTTTGAGGGGGCTGTACTCTTTCCTGAACCCCTCACTTGGATGGATAAGCTTGTGGTGCAGTATGCCAATGCCATCTGCCAGTGGGAGAAGAACAAGTCCCAGTGCTCAGATACAGAGCAAGCGGCATCTGGCCAGGAATAATTGCCCCAAAGACTCTCCAGGTCACTTCACCATCTCTTCCTCTTCAGGAACTTTTTGTTCCCTCACCTGCTGTTTCAAGATTTTCTGTCCTCTTGGATGTCCTAGGACTGGGGTTTGACCACAATGTTTTCTTCTGAAGTGAAGCTACAGCAGAGGGCAGTATCTGGTTTGAGCTTCTGTGTGTGGGTGTGCGTGTGTGTGTGGTGTCATTCTGGGTTTACGGTGCCCTATTCTGTGTGGAGATTTGTGCTGCTGTCTGTGGTTTGCTTCAGGGTTCTCCAGATAATTGATCTGATGGTCAAACCATCACTGATCAAAACTTGGAGGACACTGCAGTTCTTGTTTAGCTGGGGGTCATGTGCTGAGAGCCAGGTTTTCCCCCGTACAATAACACCACGTTGCATTATTGGGAGCACCCTGCAGCAGTCCATAGACAGCGGCACTTCAGTCTGTAAGTTGCTGGAACGTGGCTTGGAAAAAAAAATTAAAGGGAAGCACCTGAACTGCAAGTAGAGTTCCAGCCTTGCACCTTCTCACAAGGGGGCCTTTCCAGAAATGCACTTACCAGGAACTATGTTTGGAAAGATCCAGACCTTCAGCTGCTTGTAGGGTGGGATGCGTTAGACCATATCCGCATTGCTTTTCTGCTGGGTTCTGCATAGAAATGAGCTTCGAGTTGGTTATTCCAATGGATTTCCGGCTGTACAAACACATTTTCTCACCAAGACTAAACAAGTAGCCTTCATGTGATACTTGCCTTTTTTTTCTAGTGTTGAGTTGAATTTTTTAGCATTGGACTTCTGTATTTTAACCCAAGCCTTTTTAAACTGGTTCTCATTTAAAGATTGGGACCCAGTAATGATCAGTCAATGAAGCCTATCTGTTTTGTTATAGTATTTTTCATAGCGAATTAACACTTTCTTGGGGACCTTTTTATGGAGGAAACATATCAGTTCTTGCATTTTCTGTCCCCTTCTTGTACATGCCAGGGTAAAATGTTCCAAAACCCCTCCCCTGAACTTCTAGAGTACAGAAAGAGTTTCTTCAGCCATGTGACTTGCCTCAGAATGGATGGGAATCGGAGTTCTGTACCCCTGTTGAAACTAAAAAGTTATCTCTACATGGCTAACTGCCTCCAGCTCTTGGTATCCTGGGTTGCCTGGTTCAACCAGGTACTAGTGCTCTCCTTGCTCCAGTTACTCTTCCGTAGGGGAACATTCACTTTTTTTTTTACTTACCTGCACCAAGTGAAGTGTGAACACTTATGAGGAGAGGAGAAAGAGTTCCTTGTGCTTCCCGTTCCCCTCCTCTCCCCATCCCCACTCCCCCTGTCCACTGTTCAGTCACTGGTAATGTGCCCAGAGGGCTTTTATGATGGGCTGTAGTCTCTATCCTGGAAAGAAAGCTCCCCCATGACAATCAAAGATAAAAGAAACAATCTGGCCAGGGAACTTTGTGGTCAGACTTTTTGCTTTTACTTTCAGATCCTTCTCCATCTTCTCATGAATCCATCTTGGGAACTACTTCTTTCTTCATTTTTGTGCCACAGTTCTCCCTTCTGTCAGACATCCTGCACCAGATAGCACTTTAGTGCTTTAGCCTTTGTTTTGTGTTCTAGATACTATAGTTATAGTTTAAAGAGAAAACATCCTGCTGAATTTCAGTTCTGCAACACTAATGAAATAAGCTTCTTGGGCCACATTGTCCCTGAACTTCAGTAGGTTGGAGATTTAAGTGTTTGTTTGTTTGTTTGTTTGTTTGTTTGTTTGTTTGTTTGTTTGTTTGTTTGTTTGTTTGTTTGTTTGTTTGTTTGTTTGTTTGTTTGTTTGTTTGAATAAAGCAATAACTAACTACTGTAGCAAAGGTGCATTTATATCAGGAAACAAACTCTTCAGTTTGCCTTAGGCCAGCCACCCTGGCCTGTTGCAACAAACTGTGGTAACCTGCACGCTGTCTCGTGTGGAGAAATTCAGGTTCTACTCTTGTCCTACAAACAGAAGAAAGAAGTGACCAAGCAAAGCCATGTCAAGATTTGGCCACACTTGTGGCTGCTCCTTTAAGGAATGTTTCAGGGTATTGGTTAGCAAGAGTGTCCTTGGTTTGGGGGTTTCTTGTCTTTTTGTACTCCATCCTTTTGTTCATGTGGCATCCGAAAACTACCAAAACGCATTAGGCAGGGCATTCAGACTTTGACTGTGTCCCAAGTGAAATAGCTGTTTTATATAAATATTCATGGGTCACAATTTAGAGCATCTCCCACTTCACTAGAAGTGTAGTGTAAGAAACCCCTGTATGTATTGAAACAAAGTAGATGAATGTGTGGGGACTTCATCTTCAGCTCCTTGGGTTAGAGCTCTAGAAGTGCTTGCTCTTCTTAGGAAACTCTGCTATTTGTAGGTTACACAGGTCACCAGCTACCTTTTTCTTCCAAGTGCCAGGCTGCCCTTTCCCCACAGATTGCTAATTCTCCACAACATCACATGCATTTATTTCTCCAAATCCAGTTTTTAGCTGCAGATAAAACAAGCAGTAACTCAACTATTCTAAAGGAGCAGGATTGTGCTTCCTCCTGGTCCCACACTTGAAGCTTCAAAGAGCAGACAAAACCCAGGCTTTGGCATAAGGGGAAGATGTTTTCATGCTTCAAAATGTACCTTAAGAATTACATCTCAAAAAAGAAAAAGAAAAATCCTTGCTCATTCCAGTGTAGTTAAACTCCCTTTTTTTTTTCAGGAGCCCTTAATTAAAAATCCCTTTTTGTAACACTTCCATTCATTGGCCACATGGTCTGGAGTGTACCAACAGCTGAAGCTTTGTAACTTGTGACCACCTTAGGTGCAAAGGGATTGCCACTTCAGACAGACTTGTTTTTGAGAGCGCCTGTTTCATCACTCAGAAAAATGATGGGTTTCTAGCAGCGTGGCTCAGTGTAGGGTAATGAGATTCTCTCCCCGAGTGTTTAGGGAGCATTGTCAAAGAGAATTGTCTGTCCTTGGAGGTGGTTGGGGAGGTTTTGATTTGGAAACTACTCCATGCTTTGTAGAGAGGTCTGTTCTTGGTTTTCTACTTCCTGTCATGTGAGAGAGAATGGTAGTACCTTTGTCTCCAAGTATGCTGGTGTACACTCCAGCTGATCTTGTTGGTTGACCAGCCACCTGCCATGTCTACAACAGGATGAGTAGGTGTGCTTGAGTGAGAAAATTGTCCGTATTGCTGGAATTTGCCATTTGTCTAGCCAAACTGGGTGGTCAGGAGAGCCTGCTTTCAGAGAAGCATAGAAGAAATGGACTTTTTCAGAAAAACAGTCTTCTGCCATAGAGGGCTTTGCAGCTTCCCCCTTTCCAGGATCTGCCCACCTACAAAGATAGCAAAGGGCACCAAAGCAAACCAAGTTATCACTAGAGACAGGCAAGTCCTGCCCACGCTTAGACAGGGTATTCCTGTGGCACTTAGGCTTCATGATCACTATCTATTCCTTTTCCAAGGTAATCCTAGACAAGAACTCCTCCCTGTTCTGTTGACTGAACTTTCACAGCACTTTTATAGCACTTGCTCTTTTCTCTGACCCCACACACATGGACTGCTTTCAAGACTAAGACTTCAGAAGCACTTAGTGTTCCAGGCTTTCTGGGGCAGTCAACTGGTGACAAGGAAGCTGAGTACTTTCTCTACAACAGTCTTTGGACCTTGAAGCAGACTGTGTACTCTTTTGCTTATGCAGCTCCTGAGTTTGTATATGATTGCTGCTAATTAATGAATGCTAGAGCATATGGAAGTTGGTTAGTATTGGGAAGAAAAGGAAGGGTTTGCTAATGGGTTTTCTTGGTGTTTTTTTGAGGGTGTTTTTTGTCAGGATTTTTCAAGTTCCACCTTGAGTTTTGAGGCTCGGGGTGAATTTACTAGATCTTAGTAGCTGGGAATTCCTTTTAAAACCCCTCACAAATGATGCAGTTGTAAAAGCATGGCTCAGGAACTGGCAGCATAAAGTGCTTAGAACTTACTGGTCTGGTGGCCATATCTTGCAAGACTTTTTTTTTTTTGTCCCTTGGTTAAAAAGTATTGCCCTGCATGTTACCAAGTAGAGCCACCTGGAGAGGGGACTTGAGCATGAAACCAAAATGCCAATGAGGACTGCTGCTGGCAAGACTATGAAGCAGTGGTCTTGGCATGTGGGCATATGATAGGCCTTACTTGAGCTAACAAGCTTAAGCCCTTAGTAGACCTTGAGCTCTCGGAAGTCCTTTGTGAACAAGCTTGGCTCTTAAGAACTTTTCCCCTGACTCCTCACAAATTGTCCTAAGATGACCAGGTTGGCGATAGCAAGCAACCACAGTATAATCCTCTGAATTACTTGGACAAAAGACTAACAGTGCACCTCTTCTTACCCTGCTGATCTGTGGGGAGATCCAGCATGGATTTTCTTGTGTCATTGTAGATTGAGTGTTGGAGGCAGGATGAATACCTCTCATGAGGGTTATAACTAGCCCTTAGTTGCATAAGGCTCGCATCCCTTCTCATTGGATGTGAGAAACAAACCAACAGGAAAAGCCTCTTCCAGGCTGCAGCTGATAAGAATCATCTTCCATTAGGCTGGTCCAGAATCTGCAATGGTCACTTAAAGTTATCCTTTAGCTGAACAGGAACTTGAACCTCTGGGCACTTCTGTCTGCTGACTCCTTGTTTATCAACATGCACAACTCCAAGAGTGGGCATTAAATTGCAACACTTATGTTCTGATGTTTCAAAGTCTAATCTAAATTTACCTTTGGGTCATTTCTCCTAGCTCTGCCACACTTGCTGGACCACAGCTTTTCAGACACCTGGTGCCTTACCTTTCTTTCCTTGTTCTTCACCCTTGATCTCGGCACACAGACAGCTTTCAGTAACAGTTGTGCCACTTGGAGCTCTCGATTCTTGCATTGCACCCATTATGGGGAGCCTGACTATGGGTCATGTGCCACTGGGTGACTAGTGTGTGCTGACTTAAGAAAGAACCTTGGATTTGGGCAGCCTAAAGCTTGCTAAGATCTACATTTCTTATTGCTTGAAGTTGCATTTAAACAAAGTATTACAGCTGTTTCCTTTCTGTGGGAATGACTTGCAGAGGGAGGGTTTTGGAAATGTGGGTATGTTTTGCTTTCATGAAGTCCAGAAACTTGGTGTTACTGTGGGTGTAGCTTTCTTAGTCTGCTGACTTACTGGCCTGTTGACAGTACAGCTGGAGGTGGGGTGTCTGTCTTATCAGATACAGCTGAAAGCAATAAGCTACAGTCAGGAGTGGTGTGGAAGGGAGGAGGGAGAGCTTATTGCCAAACAATTGTGACTTGGGTTACACACAAGCGATCCAGGTAACATCTTGGTAATTTGCCTGGGGGGTTCTTTGGCAGAAAGCACCAGAGCCTTGCACGTATATGGACAAGCCTATGTGGAAAGCATTGCCTCTGTCTTGAGGTCCTGTGTCCTTGTTCCATTGACAGCTGTGTGTTGGGAAGGCGTGCTAGAGTCATGGTAAGCCACATCAGCAGTGTTCAACTGCACGAGCCCACATCCTAGGCAAAAAGCAAGGTGGAAAGACTTTCTGGTTTGCACTGACTGTTGAGAGCAGAAGCAAGAGTGCCCCAAACAGTGTAGTTCCTGGGATTCACAGCCATGATTTGGCAAGGCTTGCTCATCTTGCTCTGTCTGCTCTTCAGTTTGAATGTTGTTTTCCTTTAGCTGCTGCTTTGGTTGAGGGGGCTTGTACGTGGTACCATGACAAATGAGATCATCTCATTGGTCATCCCAGGTTGTGCTCGGACGGTTTCTAGGTTGATTTTAAGAGTTGTACTGTTTCATTTGAACACTTGTATCATTTATCTTTATTCTGTTTTTGCTGGTTAAAATCAACGGGCACAAGCATTGACATTAAAAGGCAGCACTTCTCAAGCCGGAGCTGTGGCAATACCCATCCATGCATCCTCTGGGTGTGTAGTAAGCCGTGCTCATCTCCTGGATGAGTAGGCCAGCCTAACCTCTAGCAGCCTTGTCGATTCCAAGTCTACTAGGGTGCACCCTGGTCCTGGGGCCCCCAACCTGGCTTTATGACCATTTAGCACATGCAGCCTGTCTTACCAGCAAGCTCCAGCAGTGAATCAGTACCTGCTCCATGCAGGTAACAGTACTGCTGTTGCAGCCAGCAGAACATCATAGTGGAGTGATTGCTGGCAGCCTGATTTCTGCCAGCCTGCTAAACCTGCTGGTGGCCCCGACAGCCAAGGAGGCCCTAGAGAAATATGGCAGTGCTATGTTCAACTCAAACACTGCAGTTCAGTCCAAACCAACCTGCTCCCCAAAGCCTGTGACTTTTGTGGCTGTTTTAAGAACATATCTTTAGTCCTGGATGTTTGATTGGTACCAACCTTTGAGTTCTTCATTTAAGAAAGCACA